CCTCGGAAATCAGTGGCGAACTGACCGGATCACTTGCCGACGGTGTACAGGCTGCGCATACGCAATGTACATGCACGTGGCTAGGCTGGTCTAATGGTGGTACCAGCTGGGCAGCATAATCCTCGTACGTAGCACGAGAATCAGCGACTAACGCATGCTCCCCGGTAGTGACATCGATTGCTAGCAAGGCAACCGCGTCCGGCGGAGTGAGGAGAGACGTCGCCCCTCTCCTTGCGTAACTCAGTTTTCCGAGTTTGCTGGACGGGGTACRCGTGCCTTGCCCTTTTCGGGGCATTGTGCGGTCACATGGGTGACTCCGTTGCACGAAAGGCAGTATCCGTACTTCTGACGTAGGTCATAGACCTCCTTGGTGATCTTATATGTCGTCCATGGCTGCCCAGCTCCCGTCGCTGCCGTCTCTTGTGTCGCCTTGTTCTTACGAACTCTCTTGGTACGCTTCGGCGGGAGCGCTGCGACAATTCCTCCATCACCCGAGGATGTTGCTGCAGCGTGGTGGTCGTCAGTTTCCTCAGAAATCACGGCATTGTTATGTGTCGGACGTTGATAGGCCTGCTTAGCCACATAATGCGGCTGGGATTGTCTCTCGTTAGCGGCCTTGTCGTCCGTTTGGATGACCAAGTTCGCTCGGTCCAGAATGCTCTGGAATGTGGTATAGTTGTACTCATTACCGAGTGCCGACCGCAATCCCGCGCATGATCGCGAGAAGAACTCGGATCGTTGATTTGGAAACGTCAAGTCGAAGCCTGGTGTGGTCACTATCTTTTGCCACTTCGTTGTCCAGTCTCGAGTTGGCATGTTCCCCTGAGAGCATGTGTACACCTCATTCATGGCCGCCTTCACGACGTTGCGGACCATGAACCGGGTGAACCATAGCTGCTTGAACTCCTTCCACGTGATGTGCGTGGAGTTCGGCGATGGTGCACTTGTGGGTGGCCGCCAGGTGGTTCATCCATGCGTGTGCTCCTCCAATCAGTTGCAAATAGAGTGCCTTCAACATGTCGTTCGCCGGGACAGTGCGGCATGACGCTTCCGTGAGGAAACGTTGCCACCATGTCAAAGCGTCCGACTTGTTGTAGTCGTCGAACTTGCAGATGTCGAAGTGCGGCATCTTGAACATCTTTGTAGCGGCGTCCGGTATCGTCTGTAGCTTGGTGATGTCCGTCTTGATGGCGGCCACCATGTTGCTGATCGTGTCCGGTCCGTTGAAAACACCTATGTCGCCGATGATGGTGACGACGTGATCGATGCGTTCGTTGATTTGCTTCGTCGCGTCCGTCGTGCAGCCTGGCGCTGCTGAGGCCTTGGCCTCAATGCCGTTGATGCGTGCGATCGTAGAGTTCATCAGTTGTTGCTGTTGCTGCTGCTGCATTGCTGCGTCGCGGACGCCGGCCGTTACAACGGCCAGGTCTTGCTGGTATTGCTGTTTTTGCTGTCGTTCCGCGTGCAGGTGTGCCTGCACTAGTTTGTTGTTCCACATTACTCCCCTCATTACGTTCAACATCACGGTAGCCAGGTTACTTCTCTCTGCCTCCGCCAGTGTCGGCTCCGCCTAAGATCATGCTTTGGAGTATCGTTGTCCACTAATGCTCACTAGCAATCAGGGACTCTGTGCTGGCGGCATTCCGTCTGTTTCGTGCCACTTCGTCAGTCTCAGCTATCCGCTGAGCTTCGGCTGTCGCCTCATTGGCCAGCCGCTGACGTTCTGCCTCTGCCGCAGCCTGCTGAGCCTCGGCGGCGGCTACGGCGTCTGTAAATGCCTGTAGCCGCCCACGATAGTCAGCCAAAGGCTCGCTGGCCTCTCGGACCGGGCATGCGGGAAGATCTCCGGTCGTGTCTTATACTGTCAATGCCGTACTTGATGCCGCTGGAGTCGTCCGTCTGCTGAATCTCTTGGGTCTTGGAGGTACCGCAGGGCGGGCACGAACTG